TGTCAGACATCTGCAAAGATACCTAAGCATCTTATACGAGATAATGCGAATCTGCTGATTCTCTTTAAGCAGGATGGTACTAATTTGAAACACGTGTACAAAGATCACGTGAACACTGATATGACGTACAAAGATTTTTGTGCGCTGCGTCGCGAATGTTGGCAGCAAAGATATGGTTTCGTAGTGATAGACAAGGACAGTTCTATGACCAATGGACGATATCGGCGGGGATTCAACGATTTTGCAATACCGTAACGTGACCATTTGTCGTTTGTGCGTCAACGAGGAAACGTCTAATACATCGTAATGGGGACGTCGGATTACACAGAAATTAGCGACTCAGAGATTAAAGATGGCGAGAAGATGGCGAAGGAAATTGCGAAAACGAGCGAATCGATCCGTAAGAAATATCGAGCTTTGAAAACCGGTAAGATAGAGGAAGAAACTGCGTTGGAAAGACACTTTCGACCTGTTATCGAGTCTCTGAGACAGACTGTGCAACATACCACTCATGTGAAACCTGACGCATCGACCATACTGGGAAACGATGCGTTATCGATCAAAAAGAAGAAACCAAAGCTCAGAGCCAAACACTTACTTGTCACCTCTACACCGATCTACCCGAAGCGGAGAAAATCAAACGTCACGACGGATTCTCCTACGGTAACTTCCGCGCCAACAGACAACTTGCATCGTACACAATTGCGCGAAATGCCTCCATCACACGTTACTCTGACCACCAATAATGAAGATGTTTTCGAGACCACTAGCGATTCACTCGTAACATCGATTAGACGTGAGTTGCAAACGTCTGAGGGACAGGAAACTTTGCGCACCCATTTTGTTCCACTGGGGCAAAAATACATGGTAGCTGTTTTAAGCAGCGACAAACATACCACCATAGACTACGTCTACGGTGTGTATTTCAGCAATGGTGGGACGAAGCTCGGCGATAAAAGTTTCGACGTGGATATTGACGATAATATAATCATTGGTGGTGCAAAGTACGCTGGAAAATCTGGTCTATACGAACTGATTTTCAAGAGAATTCCCGACGACTACACGGAGGCCGATAAACAAAAATACAAAAGTATATTACTGGCGACGAATGCTCACAGACGCAATCACAATGCGCTACAATCCGTATTGA